AATGATGTCACCTGGGCCCTTGTAAAATTCCATGAATGAGGCAAAGGGGACGCATAATACGAACCTTACCTGAAAGCATCTATTATCTTAAAATGTAACGTGGAAGGAGGTTGCAAGTATTCAGACAGGATGCTGCTGTGTGCCGTGATGGCTTCTAGTTGTTCTCAGGGTTGCTGAATTGATGAAATGAACAATGGTTGAGCCCCAGTTTTTGAAAATATCTTGAGTAACCTCATGAATCTAAATTCAGTCCTTGCAATATCCCGAAAACCAAGAGAAACTGTCTATTTACACATTGGAAATATATTTCCAAAGTAATATAGTATCTGTAACACAGACCTTAGTGTGATTCATGGGTCTGTGGGTTTCACATCCAATTATACCAGTTGTATGTATAGCATACATGTCAAAGTCTGAACAGGACTGGTTTTGGTATACAATTACTCTGGTTAGAAGCCTTCAGTTCTTGTTCTTTGATCCCAAATACTTGTGGTGGTCAATCTGTTCACAATACTAGGATAGTGTGTCTTCAATGTCTGTATTATGCCATGATTTATAATCTAGTGTTGACACAGTCATTTGTACAGCTCATCCTTGGGATTGATATATTTGTACAGTGATTTTAAGGCACAGATAATATAAATTCTGCAAGTCTGATTTTCCCCCTAATCTCAGTATCTGTGCTTACAGATATCCCATGCATATACAAAAGAGCAGGAGTACACATAAAGAGGATGTTGGTAATGCATGTGTCCGCTGTGCTAAACTCAGAGCTGGGAGAGGTCCAGGGGCTGCTCACATCAATCTCTGGACCTTGAAAGGCACCCTCCATTACCCCAACCTTTCTTTTTTTAAATTGAATAAAACCCCTTGTATCAGATAGTACCCCACATTTTAAATTAAAATTTGGAGGGATGGGGCCCCTTGGAACATGCCATTATTTTGTCCATGCCCCCAGAGGGCCCAAGGGGGCTTCTTAAAAACATTTCCCAAAAGAATATTTGAAAAAAATGAGAAGGGTAGGGTGGCATTTTGACCCAAGCCATTGTGTTTCTTACCTTTGGCTAATTAGGAGTAAGACAAGCTGGAAGCTATCTACCCTTTCACGGGGTGGGATGTGAGAGCTGCGTATTTGGTTTTAAAGTAGAATCACACTCCAGGCTTTTAGGAGGACAATTCTCTTTGTATTTATTGAGGGGGGAAATTTAGGGATTTCTGGGTCTGTAAAAGTGGTTAGGGTTCAGGCCATCTATGTTGTAGATTGCTGTGGTAGATGGACCTGTATTTTGACTCATTGGCTCAAACGTTACATTAAAGGTTTAATTGGTAACAACCATCATATGTTATCACCCAGCCATCTGGGTGTGTTGCTTACTGGGAAGGTTGATAGAATCACAGAACTGTAAAACTGAAAGGGACCCTAGTAGCCATTGAGTGCAATCTGCTACTGAAGCAGGAAATTCACAGCTAAAGCATCTCTGACAAATGACCATCTCAAATGACCATGTTTAAAACCTCCAATTAGGGAGATACTACTGTCCTATGAAACAGTGCTTACTGCCAAGGAGCTATTCTTGAAGTTTAGGGAAAATCTCTTTCTCATAACTCTCATTACTTGGACTCCTACCCTCTAGGGCTACAGAAAATAAGCTTGCTCCATTTTCCACATGACAGCCCTTCAGTTTTTTATAAGCTTAGCTACAAGAATATCATGAAGGACCTTGTTAAAAGTCTTGATGAAGCTCTATAAAAGCTTGTGACTCTATTTAAGAAAAGAGAGGAGAAGATAAGATTACTTGGGCATGACTTGTTTTAAAGCTCCAATTCTCTGTGCATTCCCTCTTTTAATATTTCTGACCATAGGATATGACCCACCATTTCTTTAATCTTGTTGAAAATAGCTTTCCTAAAGTCCAGAGTGCTATACCCAGCTTTTGTTTTTCTCAATATAACAAACCCCAAGATGGAATGGTTGCGTATATCCAGGTTCCCACTATTTCTATATTATTGACCACTGTTTTCCTGCTAGGTAGGATCAGTTCCAGGGTATCTTGTCACTTCTTCCACCTTCTGGAAGATGAAATTATCAGCAAGGCAAGTAAGAAATGTGTTAGACCTTGGTGTCTTGGCAGAGTTGAACTTCCGACAGATGTCAGGGTGATTGAATCATCCCACTATGACAGTGTCTCTCCTCTTTGAATGTTTAGTAATCTCATTGAGGAGGGGATCATCCAAATCTGCAGTCTAATTAGAGAGGTCTTTAGCAGACCTACACAGTGATGTCACTGTTTTTTCTTTCTACTTTGATTTTTAACCAAATGCTCTCCGTCCCATGCTCTAACTCTTGGATCTCCTTACAGTTGTACAGTCCTTTACTTAAAATGCTGTTTAATTGCCCTTCCTGTTTAATCTGTTCCTAAATTTTATCTTTCAATTACTGCATTTCAGTCATGGCTCATACCAAGTTTCAGTAGTACCGATTGATTAATATCTGCCTTCCAGTGATAAGAGTTCAGGCTCATCTTATTTGTTTCTTGTACTCTATACATTACTATAGGCTGATCTGAAACTATTGGTCTCTCCTTCTAGATGCTTTGCTGTTGTTCTTTTATCCTTCAGGTCCTTGTAGTACCACTCCAGTTTCTGATGTATCACCAATACTCTTCTGTTGTCATGCCCCACAGCTTTTTATTGATGAGGTTTACAGATAGTTAATATGTTCTTGCAAATATGTGTTTCTTGAGCATTGTAAGATGCAATCCATCATTTGCCAGAGGCCCTTCTTCATGGAAGCACAGAACATGTTTCAAGAAGCCAAACTTTTTCCAACAATACTACAGTACTTGGGGAACCAGTAGATGACTCCCAATATTTTTGTCTCTCTTCCTGGACTATGACCTTTGGCAGGAGGGAGTGATGGCATTCTTCAGTTCTTTTACCCATATCTCAGTCCTGTGCACTATACTGAAGGTCTACAAACTGTCACATCTGTCTCTAGGGGGTCACATACCACCACCGTACATCTCCTCCTCCTCTTGGGAGTGGCCAGAATTCTTCCATTTATAGTGTCCTCCACAACCACTTCTGTGCTTTCTATTGTTTGCCACCCCAATCCAAAAGCTCAGAATCACCACCTGTGGACCCGTTGTCCTGGCTGAGGCAGTCCAGTAGATGTTTATGAAGGTGGCCTGGAATTGTTTAGGATTATTGCTGGTGGAGAGAGGCCTGGGACTGCTGTCCTTGTGGCAGTGGTTCAGCATCACAGTCCAAGAGAAAGGCCTGATACTGATTCTGTAGATTCAGAGACCCACTATGCTTCATGATAGTCATTCTTCTCTGTGTCACATTTGTTGACATTTTTGCTTCCTGCACTTAGCATTTGTCTTCCTCCCCGGAGGCATTCCTGCTCTTTCCATCTTCCTGAAAAGTCCTCTCGGCTCAGTTCAGAAATACTTCATTTTTCCTGATGAACCACATTGGGCTTCATGCTGATGTACTTTCTTTGCTACCAGGAGTACCATTTTGCTCTTGTAAATGTAAATATAAGCCTCCTACATCCTCCAGCGGGGGAAGATAAATGTATCACAGATGCTGGAGGTCACGGCAGCTGCTCCTTCTGCGGCCATATCTTTTGTTCTGTGTAGAACTTAACAGCACTGCTGGCCACCCACACAAACTGTCCTGTTTACTCGCCCTGGTTATTATATCCTGATCAAGAATTTGCAGCTGCTAGCTCCTTCACACAGTCGAACCAGTGACTCACTTTGTCTCTGCTGTAGTCCCTCCCGCTAGCACTGTGTGCATGGAGCAGAATACAAAATTTTAATCTTATGATTGCCAAAAACACATGTTTAACTTCCGAACAACCCAGACAATCAGCCTCAAGCCAACAGACATAACTTCCCCTTCTTGATCCCTTCCACCAACCCCGTGGACATGCCCCTCTTACTTTGCTCATGAGCTCCTGGCCACAAGGTTCAAGGGTTTATGGTATACAACTTGGCACCAAGATTCCCACCTGATTAAGAAAAGGAACTTCTTTGGTCCTACCCATCCTGTTTCCCTTGTTACTAGTGATGGCAGTGGAGCCTTGTGATGCAGTGGTTAAACTGCAGCCCTACAGCCAAAACTCTGCTCACAACCTAGGCTCAATTCCAGGTAGCTGGCCCAAGGTTCATGTAGCCTTCTATCCTTCAGAGGGCAATAAATTAAGTACCCAGGAGGCGGTGCAGTGTATAGCCTGCATAATCAAATTGTAAACTGAGTACCCAGGAGGCGGTGTAGTGTGTAGCCTGCATAATCAAATTGTAAACTGCCCAGAGAGTGCTTTAAGCACTGTGGGGCAGTATATAAGCAGCACATTTTGATTTTGTGTGTGTGCGCGCGTGTGTGTGTGTGTGTGTGCGTGCGTGCGTGCGCATGCGCATGCGTGTGCGTGCAATTTTGGACTGCAAACATGTATGTAGAACATCAGTATTTCTTCCTTTCCTTTATTGAACCTCTTTGGACTGCAAGCATGTATGTAGAACATCTGTATTTCTTCCTTTCCTTTATTGAACCTCTGTAAATTGCATGGGACGTGGTGGCGCTGCGGGCTAAACCACAGAAGCCTTTGTGTGCTGCAGGGTCAGAAGACCAGCAGTCATAAGATCGAATCCACGCGACGGAGGGAGCCCCCGTTGCTTTGTCCGAGCTCCTCGCCAACCTAGCAGTTCAAAAGCGTGTAAATGCGAGTAGATAAATAGGTACCACCTCGATGGGAAGGCAAAACGGGGTTCTCTAGTCATGCTGGCCACGTGACAATGGAAACTGTCTTTGGACAAGCGCTGGCTCTACGGCTTGAAAAACGGGATGAGCACCACCCCCTAGAGTCAGACACGACTGGACTAAAAATGTCAAGGGGAACCTTTACCTTTACCTTTTTAAATTGCATAATTCTTTACAAATATATACAAAAGCCTTTCCCCCCATATTAGTTACTGTTTTGTCTGTTTGTGCAGGATGATGAAGGATGTGTGGAAGAAATACAAATTACCCACCATGTGAAAGAAGGATGCGAAAAAGCAGATCCTGCACAGTTTGAATTGCTTAAAGTCCTTGGTCAGGGATCATTTGGAAAGGTAAGAAAAATTATTGCCCTTTATTATAAATGCTGTATTCTAGGTTGTCCCTCTCATTCAGCTGAACACAAACATACTTCATTTGTGTTACATTCTGAATATAATTTTATCACTGTGGCTAGACACTTATTACAGTAAGTTCCCGAAACACTTCAGTGCATTTGCCTCTCACCAGACACTTTGGCTTTTTTTTTTTTTTTTTTTTGTTTCAGCCATTTGCTTTTAGAACATTTTGTTTCTGGTGGAAGAAGGAAGATGGAAACGCTGTGTTTGATTTGTGGAGCATAAATGATTAGTCAATACAATATAATTAAAAAGCTATGATAGTGTTCTTTAAGAATATGTGCATTCATCTGTTTTACCATTATTGGAACATTAAAATGTGTGTTTTGGATGGAGTCGTGAAATTCTTCAGAACACAACTGGAGAATTTTGCTTCTCTTTTAGCAGTTTCCGATACCATAATATTTATAGATTTTACTGTCATGCTGCATCATTGACAGCTAAGTCCTGATGGGTGTAAAAAAATCGTTTCCAGGATCAGGAGAAGCATTTTATATCTGTTTCTAAATTGATGGCCACAATAATGATGATTCTGGTAGTATAATTATTTTTGAGCCTGGTGGTGGCTCACTTAAAAGAAATTGTATTTGATTTTGGTGTTCCGGCATACAGAGCATATGTTCTTCAGTAATTGCTTCCACACTGCTTAAGCTCTCTTGTTTGGTTAGGTTTTTCTGGTGAGGAAAATTATTGGTCCTGATGCTGGACAGCTGTATGCCATGAAAGTTCTGAAGAAAGCTTCTCTGAAAGGTATGTCTGCTTAAAAAGTAAACACAGTCGCTGAAATCCTATGGCTTGTTGGTTAATGAGCTCAGTCACTTGAACATTTCCTCTGTCATCTCTGTTGACCATTAGATATTTGAGTAGAGCTAGTTGTTTTTGGAATATGGCTGTTGCAGATTTTACTGATTATAGGTCCTTCTACTGCAGTGGTTCCCAACCTTGGGTCCCCAGATGTTCTTGGATTAAAACTTCCCAGAAGCCTTCACCCCTCTCTGTTTTGGACAGGATTTCTGGGAGTTGTAGTCTAAGAACCACGGGTCTACAGTTAAGCGTTGCCTCTCTTCATTTGAAATAATTTAATTTTGCTTTGAATCTCCCTAAATTCTTTCCCAATTAAGCGTTGCCTCTCTTCATTTGAAATGATTTAGTTTTGCTTTGAATCTCCCTAAATTCTTTCCCTGAAATATTTGAAGTAAAACTAAACTGAGTTTGTTGGAGATAAACAATCTCAGAAGAAAACGTTTGAATAAAATAGGTTGCTTACGCCTATCACTGTTTTATTTGTTTACAGTTCGAGATAGAGTTCGTACAAAGATGGAGAGAGATATATTAGTAGAAGTAAATCATCCATTTATTGTCAAACTGCACTATGGTGAGTATTTTTGTGCTGCTGCATGTGTAGTTTGCAAGTTTATCAAATATAACGCCCTTAAATATCATGCTTGCAAAATGAGAATCATAACAGAAAATTGGGTGAAAACTTAGTCTTTAGTCTAATAATATTAGCACATGATTATGATCCACAGTCTAATTTATTCAGCTGTGTTTAGTTAATTTCAGTGGACTTTGAATTAATTTTTTAAGGGCATCCTTAAAATTCATTTTTCCTCAAATGGTTAGTAGATGGGGAGTCCTATAAAATAAAATTAGAGGTGTGCAGCCCACATAAAAAGTTCATGTTTTACAGTGGACAAAAAGAACCATTCCTTTCTTCATTTTTTTAAAAAATAGGCTTATTCAATAGTGCAAAGATATATCATACAAGTAGGAAAAATATTAAATATAAAGTATATTTGAATAACAAAAACAGCAATAGCCAATGATAACATCTGTATTAGTTTTAAAAAGCGGAATAAAACATTTCCAACCAGAGTCTATTCTTGCGTACAAGATAATTGTCATTCTCTGAGAAAAAATAATTCCATTATACGGCATCTTTCCAGAATCTAAGCAGGTTTTGCTGTATTAGTTTTAAAAAGTGGAATAAAACATTTCCAACCCAGAGTCTATTCTTGCATACAAGATAATTGTCATTCCCTGAGAAAAAATAATTCCATTATATGGCATCTTTCCAGAATCTAAGCAGGTTTTGTGGCGATCCTATGAAAGTAGCATTGTTATCGATAAATGTTAAAACTGTGACCAGATTTCCATAAATCAGTCTTTCTTTTCTATTCCTTTTTCTGTTCTTAATTTGAATGTCAATTTTTTGTTCCTCTCAATCTTTCATTGAGTGCAACTGACCAAACCCAACTCATCCAAGCATCTATGGACAAACCATCCCATTTTTCCCCTCTTGAGAAATGTCCATCCCTACATTAGTTCTTTATGCAATAGAGAACTGTTACGATGAGTAAAAAAAAAATGATATCAGTAAGTGCTGACCATCAGTCTATTATCTGACTAGTTATTTCATTTAGGATTGAGATAACACACTTTCAATATTGTTCTACAGGGGGACACTCCAGCCGTAGATGAATAAATGCACCATACTGATCACACATCCCCTCCAGCATGTTGCTGGCTGTGTGTTATAAAATTTGCATGATTTAGGCAGAAATTGAGCCGCCTTTCTTCATGAGTTACTGATTAGTGTATGCAGATTGGGCAGAAATTGAACCGCCTTTCTTCATGAGTTACTGATTAGTGTGATTCACTGGGTAGCCCAGGGTAGTGGTGTGTGTAGGTAGGAGAGCCAATTAAGCACATGTATGCTTTGTGCTTATAGAAAAAAATGTGAAGCACTCCTTTCTGGATGAACCAATGCTCTACCTACTGTAACATCCTGTTGTCCAACAGCATTCTCACATTGTCCAACATGATTGTCCATAGGAAGCCTCCAAACTGGATAGGAGGGTGATGCCCATCTTATGCTATTGAGTTTTTTGTGTCTCTATAATAGAAGCGGTATATAACTGTCATGACTGCTACCCATCACTAGACATATTTATGAAGGATAAGGTGAAAACCCTTTCTGTGCTATATAGATTGTTAGCTATCACCACATCTTGTGTTGATAAACTATGTAGTTTAACTCGATGCTTTGCAAAGAAGTAGTCCCCTGGGAGCCTTCAGCAGATATAGTGTGCTAGGTGAGCCCACAGTGCACCATGACAGATGCTTTTGGAATCAGTATTTCCCATATGGAGCCTATAAGATCTTTGATGCAATGTCCCTTCTTTCGTAAGAAGGGTGTATTCAGCCAATCTCAAAATAACTATGGTTTTTTAAAATACCTTTTTTAAAGAAAATGTTGATAAATGTTCTGTATGCCCTTTGCTCAAGGACACTTTGCATCATTGACAATGTGTGACATATCGGTGTCCTCTCAGTAGTGCTAGGTGTGACATTTTTGCCTTAGTACAACCAAATTAGAGTGTTAATTGTAATCCCTCATGACTGAAGTCTGTTTCTCACACATATTTGCTTGTCCTAATAAATGTTCAACTGGATTCACATTGAGCATTTTTTTAAAAAGAAATTAAGCAATACAAAAGAAAAGCTTATAACAAATTTATCTCAAATGACTTTTACCTGCAGTTCTTTAAATATTTAATAAACTGGTTGTATCATAAGTTTACATCTTTTTAATAACTGCAGTATGCTAAATCCTAGATAGCTCAGTTTGCAAGTAGTAGTGAAGCATTTAGATATGTGAATATGAAGGCAGTATTTTTACCAGCTGTGCTTCATAAAAGATAATAATATGAATTTCTTCTGCCTGAATAGTTTTAAGTTTGCAAATACTGCACATCTACCTAGATAAAAACACATTTAGTATTTTATATATTGTGGATATATAATTTATGTAGTGTCATAAGAAACTGATTCATGTTTGATTTGTCAAATCAGCCTTTCAGACTGAAGGGAAGCTATATTTAATATTGGATTTTCTCAGGGGAGGAGATGTGTTCACAAGATTATCCAAAGAGGTATGTATTCAATGTATTTATACATTTAAAATGTGATGAACATATAGAGGACAAATATGAATCAACTTTGGAGCCATGTGTTAGCCTAACAAGGTGGTACAGTGTATTGTCTGGAGTAGGAATGCGAGCTTGCGTCTTGCAGCCCAAATCTGACACTCTGTTCTCACTCAGCTGTGAAGTCCTCTAGGACACTGGTCCCCAACCTTGGGCCTCCAGATGTTCTTGGACTACAACTCCCAGAAGCCTTCACCACCACCTCTGCTGGCCAAGATTTCTGGGAGTTGAAGTACAAGAACATCTGGAGGTCCAAGGTTGGGGGCCACTGCTCTAGGAGACTCAGAGGCTGAGAAATAGTGACTGGCCCAGCCTACCTCAAAAGGTTGTTGTGTGGATAAAATGAGAAGTTCACGGTGGGAGGAATCATGAGTGCTGCCTTCAGCTCTTTTAAGAAAATGCAAAAATAGAAAGGTATTAATTGAATCAATATCTGCTCTGTTATTTTGGATATCTGAAGGAAAGTCTGACTATCTGAAGTCTTTCACCCCCTCTAAGAATGCCAGACCGACAGAACAGAAGCTTTCTAGGGCTGGTCTCCGAAGAAACAAGCTGTACATTTATTGTATTCTGGAAAGCATGAAGTTTTCCTCACCCTCTGGAATAAATTGTTCTCTGGGGGGGTTGCCTGCAACCTAAGGCCATTTCTTCTTGAGTACTTTGCTCACCCAGTTCAGGAAGATTAACGCTTGGCTTCACACAGGGATATGTGGAGGAATCAAAGAATAGGATATCTGAAACAAGGGACCTTTTTGGCGGTAGCTTCGTTGCTCTGGAACAAACTGCTGCTCAAGAGTTGTCTGGCTCACTCCCTGGAAGCTTTTAAGAAGTCCTGTGTTTTCCGTTAGGCTTTTTAAAAATAAATCACCTCTAAATGCCTCGCTTTTTGAGTCTTTTACACCTTCAGCCATCTGATTCATATCAGTTTTACAGACTTATGTTGGATAAATATGCAGAGGATTGCGATATAAGCTATACAGCATATAAAACGAGAAATACATTTTCCATTTGTGTCTATAACTCTTTATTTTTGGAAAAAAAATTAAATTTATGTTCAACTATTTATTTTGCTCCAAAACCAGAGAAAATAAATCTTAATATTGCCTTTGAGAGTCTCCCCCACCTCTATAAATCTTTGTTTATGTGAGCTATTTCACTTTTATTGTAGCCACTTTTATTATCGTTATTTTGGTACATTATTGCAAAATTTGGTAAAACGGCTGTCTCATAAGTGGAATGTTTGACAACTTTCTTGTTTTCATTGCCTTTTGGATAACCTTTGGCATCTGAAACCCCACACGTTTTATAGACAGCCATTCCTAGCTCCCCTGTCCGTATCCATTAATCTGTGACAGTTTAAAACTCATACAGGTACGTATCTCCATCCTTCTGACCACATTGGAAAGAGGGGTTGGGATATGGAGTGTTAAACTTTCCTTTCATGCGCCAAATGTAAGTGTGCAAAGAGAACATATGATTTGTCCAGGAATTAACACCATTCCAGTGGCCTTTTGCCCATTCTTTGTTCTTTTGTCAGAGGACAGGGGATGCAGTGGAAATGCTATGAATGTCTTATGTTTTGGGAAGCTGTTAGGCTGGCCCTCTCGGGTACCTGTGCTTTCTAATCGTGTGTATGCAGCTTGAGTTCTCATCACACTGATTTATGGGGAGTATACATACGAAAGCTAGTTACTTTGCATCACATCTCTTTTAAGTTGCATAAACATCTTAGATATTTAACCAGAGCAGAATGTAAATCTATATAGTTCTTATTAGGTTATGTTTACAGAGGAAGATGTGAAATTCTACCTCGCAGAATTGGCCCTTGCTTTGGATCATCTGCACAGCTTGGGAATTGTATACAGGGACCTGAAGCCAGAAAAGTAAAGTAAAATGTATTTTATCCATTACTACAGTACTCTTGTGTGAAGGTTTATTTCCATCTTAGTAGATAATGTAGAATAACAGGTCAGCTTTAGTAGATTACTTTCTCTTTCTTTTACCATTTCAGTAATGTCTATTTTAAAATGTGTGTACTGTAAAGTTTGTTAGAAGAGTAGATAAATATTACTGCTATAATTTTTATTATCTCTATTGCTTTATTAAAATGCCCTATACATTTTCCTGTTATTTGTATTGGTGAATGTGAATTTTAATTTTCAGCATTTTGCTTGATGAAGCAGGACATATCAAGTTAACAGGTAGGTGAAACTTAAAATTTATACTCTTAAATTTTGTATAAATAACCTATTTGTTTTTTGTTTGTTCGTTTCATTTATATCTCACCTTTCTGCCAGTTTAGGGACCCACAGCAAAGTAACAAATGGCAGAAGGGGGTGATGAAATTAAAATATCAATGAGACATTAAGCAACGTACCTTCTAATTTTAGTGCAACTTTGCACCTTCATGCGTGCATGACTTTGCTCTCTTGTGTGGGGTGCCATCGCGACCAGAACCAAAGGGCCTGGAAACGATGGTTGCACAGAAGGAGGCAGAGTGGCAATACCCATAACCAAGTGACAGCCACTCTCTCAAATCCTCACCAAACATTCCTCTGAGAGTGATGGAAATGAGAGAAGGGCCTTCCGAAAGATCTTAAAATGAGGTGGGGAAAGGCAGTCCTTTAGATAGCCAGGACCTGAGTTGGAAGAGCTTTATAGGAAGAGCTTGTTACAATAAAGCAGGTTGTAACTAAAGTATTCATCATGGCAGCCCAGTCAGACATTGCACAGTACAGGCACAGGTGGCTCATGCTTTAACTGTGCAAACAGCAACTGTACAAATGCCTTCCTGGCATCCACCTCCTAGTTAAATCCAGGACTTCAAAACTGAGCATTCATGGGGAATACAGGCAGAATCCATATTCTCTGATCTACTTTTCCACTGACCACAAGCACCTCTGCCTTAGAATCATAAGATTAGAATGATAGAATCATAGAATCATCATTTTGGAAGGGTCCTATAAGGCCACATCCTTATAGGAAGGTCATTTGGATTCCTGCACTGAGCAGCCCCTGCTCAGTGCAGGAATCCAAATCAAAGCAGATCTGCCAGAGGGTTGTGTAATTTTCTCTTGAATGCTTCCGGTGTTGGGGCACTCACCACCTCCTGAGGTCCTTGGTTCCATTATCTAACAGTTAAGACTTTTTCCTGATATTCAGCTGAAATCTGCCTTCCTGTAACTTGAGCCCATTGTTGCTTGTCCTGTACTCTGGGATGATTGAGAACAGATCCTGCCCCTCCTCTGTATGATTATCTTTCAAGTATTTGAAAAGTGCTCTCCTATCTCCCCTCAGTCTTCTTTTCTCTAAACATGCCCAGTTATTTCAGTTTTTCCTTGTAGACTTTGGTTTCCAGCCCCTTGATCATTGTTTTCTTGTTTCGGTTTGTTCACCCTCACCTGTACAGTTATCAGATACCGGTTTAGAACCAAAATAGCCTAGAGTTATGTGTTATTGGCACACTTTTAGCTCTAGTCCCACAAACTCCAGCCAGTATTTCCTGCCTTTTTACTTGCACTTTAAATAGCAGGAGGAATAGGACGAAATGCAGAGGACCCAAGAATCCAAAAGCCAGAGCATCGACAGGAGTTCCCAAGCCTTACCTTCTGAGATTTACCTTCCAAAACGAATTGGGTATAAAATAGTGCCACCTCATCTCATGTCCAAGAGGTACCAGAAAGGGAACCACCATCAAAAGATGCCGAGAGGTCCAGAATTGTATAAGAAGATGAAAACTTCAATCCACATAAAAATCCTAAGAATCCTAAAATGACCTTCAAGGACAAATCCTCCCAAAATCATTCTAGGATGATGCTGTTTCAAACAGCATGTGTCTGTTTGACAGGTGATTCATAGTGTATAGTTAAATCAGTTTTAGTACACTGTCAAAAGTTTGTTTTGACATCCGATTCTTTGGAAGCTGATTATTTAAAATAAACTGTTACGCGATTGTCTTGAAGAATCCCAGAATGCAGTGACTTGATGCAGTGAGTGTGGCTTTTGAATCTAATCAGTTGATTTTTGGTGGAGCTTGTGTTTACCACCAACAGCCCCATTAAAATAATAATAATCTTTAAGAATGTTAGAACAGAGCTGGAAGGGACGCAGTGGATCATCGAGTCCAGCTCCTGTCAAGAAGGTGCGGTGGGGAATCCAACTCTCAGACTCTGTCTCTATATCCAGAGGTCTAAACCACTGAGCTATCTGACAGTTCGCATTCCAAATGAATGGAAGATACATCAGTTTCCTGGGAAGGAGCTTTCCAAGAAGGGACCATTCTGCTATTTAAAGATGTCTGTTTTAAAAAGAGACAGCAGCTTTCCACCCTACGAACTGCACAACTTATCTCTTAATGAAATGTTTAGGAAGCATTGACGTGGAGAAGCGAGCCGGGTGCCAAGTAGGACATAGGGAATAGTATTTTTAAAGAAACTCTCCTTCCTGTCTTCACAGTCCTAGTTGCACATTTGGAGGAACCGCAGTTTGTACATTTGCTGCCTCGTTTGTGTGTCTCACTTTTCGACGGTCTATGAAGGAGAATTTTAAAAAGCTAGGAAATAGTATACAGGAATTTTCACTTGAAGCTGAAGAAACAAATCAGTTGAGAACATTAATTAGCAGGCTGAAAGGTTAATAAGGAAAAGGAAAAAAACTAAACAGTATGAATATGCTTGTCTTAATTAACAAATTTCTTCCCTTCAGCCGTCATATAGGGCCCCCAAAAAAGCAAAGTGGCCATTTTGCCCTCTTTACATTCTCCTTGCCTACACTTTTAAATTAACCCCTTTCTGAATAGGGCGACTATAGCTGGAATGCTCCTTAATTTAAAAGCAGCAGGCTGTGTCTTTGAACCCTTTCTTGAATCTGTAGGTTCTGTTCCTGGGCACTGAAAGGAGCCGTAGAAAGATCAAAGCCATGAACACAACAGTGTTTCTGAGCCGTCTGGAGAACATCTTTGGTGTGGTTGGGTGTGTGTGCTGGTAGAAGTAGCAGGATCCAGCAAAACATACCATTGAATCTTGGCTGTTGCCTACTTTCGTCATGAGCTGTTCTGAATATACGCATTAAAATGAATGATTTTTCAGTATTCAGATTACATACAAATTGGTAACTTACCACATTTTTATAGGCTTCCATATCACAAACAGCCAAATCTTTTCTTGTGTGAGATGTAACAGGCCAAGGAGGAGTTGATAAATATTCATGGCTCAAATATATGTTTTTGTAGAACAGTACAATAACCATAACTTACTTCTTGAAATTTAATTAAACTTAAAATTTCATTAAACCTCAAGCTGGTGTTGCGCATTAATAGATGCACAAATAGATGAACTGCTGGATAGTTCAGTGGTTTAGGTACGGTGACTGGGAGTTCAATTCCCCGGTGTGCCTCCCTCCCAGTTCTGCATTTCCAAGATTATGGTGATGATGATGATGATTAAAGTGTTGTTTTGGACATTCAGCATACATTTCCTTAGGTGCAGTGAAAGAGAACATATACTCCTTAGTTTAAAAATTCATTGATTAGCTGTTATGGGGATGTCTTACTACTGCCCAATAGGTTATAATTAGAGATGGGAGTATTTGGATATGAATGTGAATATCCACACACCCCCAGAGGTGAAGATAATGAAGGTCTGACCCCATGGGGCCGGTCGGTCCACTCACCATTCTGCCGCTGCAGCGAGCTTGATGGAGCCTTCCTATTGCTCTGTTGCTCACGATAGGTTAGCCACTGTGCAACCTGGCAGAGAGGCTCACCATCCCACCTCCTGGCTAATCTATCATGAGCAATAGGAAGGCTCCGTCGAGCTCGCAGCAGTGGTGGAATCATGAGTGGACCGGACCCATGAGGCCAGACCCTCGTTATCGCCACCTCTAGGCGAAGGCTCCGTCGAGCTCACAGCAGTGGTGGAATCATGAGTGGACTGTCCGGACCCATGGGGCCAGACCCTCGTTATCGCCACCTCTAGGGGGATATTTGTATACGAATACCCCCTTCTCTAGTTATAATACAGACAGGAAATCTGGAAGTTGGAGCACAATTCTGTCTAACTTGTTGGCCGAGGTTGTTAGGAACTGAAGTCCAGCAACATTAGGAAAGCCCCAGGGGTTCTGCCACCCTGCTCCTGGTCTTCATAGGACAATACAGTATATCTTTTTTTTCTAAAGAATTCATGTTTTTGCATGTTCGATAAGTAGTTTATCTCCTTGTGATGTTTTTATAATTCTGTTCTAGACTTTGGCCTCAGCAAAGAATCTGTTGATCAAGAGAAGAAAGCCTATTCTTTCTGTGGCACCGTAGAGTACATGGCGCCTGAAGTGGTGAACAGGAGAGGCCACAACCAGAGTGCCGACTGGTGGTCGTTTGGTGTTCTTATGGTACGGCCGTTCTCATTACCTGGCTTTGCTCGTGTTGTTGCACATGTACCGATCCGTGTTGCCAAGAAAATAGGAATGCTATTCACAAATCTGTGGGGTTGTGGAGAGATTTGATACAAGACTATTCATCTCAGGCTACCAACAGAAAAAAAA